ACAGACTGTCGCCTCTAAATGTTGACTTCTATGTACACTTTTATGTTTACACACGCTGTATCTCTGATATTGAGCACTTTATCCCATAAATATAGCACACCTTAAGACTATATTTCTTCACACACACACACATATATATATATATATATATATATATATATATATATATATATGATGAAATGGACAAAATCCAACAATTATTTTAAGGCATTTTTATGTTTATCTATAAAAAGAATGTATGAACATAAAAATGTCTTAAAATATATAATTATTCATGTAACTTTCATTTCTATACCTTTTTTTAGTCATCCTAAGAATGATGTATTATTGCATCAAAAAAATGACCTTTCTCTCTCATATTTCTATAAATTCTGGCAGCCCATTGGTTAACTTATAGATTTAGTTTCTGCAAAGGATGAGTTTTATGGTTTCTTAAATCTTTCATATTGCATCTCTAATCTTTATGGCAGTGCTTCACATCCTCTTTTCTGTTAGGTTTATAAATGCATCTTGAAAGAATACCAGGAAACCAAAGTAAAAAGACCAATGTGTTGTAAGTCTGACCACATCCATAGATGTGTGTAAGATTCTTTTCTTTAAATATACAATAAACATACTTGATAACAGTGCCTCATTTGTGATGTGTTTTTTTAAGGCAATTATAAATATATAAGGGATTGGAAAGTATTAATTAACATGGCTGCTTGAATGTGTTTAACCCACACTTTCCTAATTACAAACATTTCACAAAGGACATTTTATAAAACAATGCGTTGGTTGCCTGCTGTAATGAGACTGACCACAATTTTGACATAAAAATGCTAATCTGATCAAAGGAGAAAATAATTCACTATGTAAATGTCTAGAGAGTGCCTTGATCACTAGGTCACCTACAGTAAATTTACACCCTGGCTATTACAACATTTCTGGCAGATCTTCTATTATCACTGTGTGAGATACCTACTAACAAAAGTTATGGAAACAAAAAGAAAAAAAAAAAACTCTAAATGAATTATGCTAGATAATAATAAAAAAAAAAAAAAAAAATTTCTAAAATCCCCAGCACCCCTTGTTTGTGCACGTGTAATTATACTGATGTAACAAATTTAGTTTGAAGGATGAAACGTGTCACAAATAAACTTTTTCCACATTGTCATACAATTTCTCATTTATATATTTATATATATATATATATATATATATATATATATATATATATGTGTGTGTGTGTGTGTAATGAATGTCTATTGTGTTTGATCATGAGCTGTTCTAAGCTTCATATAGTGGCTTTACTTTCGCAAAAGAAAAAAAAAGCAAAAAACTTTCCAACATTTGTATATTTTTTATTATGATGTTCCTTGATCTTTATTTATTATATATATATATATATATATATATATATATATATATATATAATGTGTGTAAAATTTCAGATATAACTAAAAAAGTATATCTATAAAAAGGCAATATGAATAAAGATGACAAAAGGAAAATTTAGTCAATGTGTTTCGGGCTCTGATGGACTTTATCAAGGCAAATTGATAGTGTCCATCAGAAGATGAAATGTGTCAGCTAAGTTTTCCTTTTGTCTATATATGCACACACACAATTTTAAAGAATATTTGTTTGTTTACTATGCAAAGCATCTTAAAGCTTTTTTCTTTTCTCTTTTATCTGGTATTGTATTAAATCTCTTGTTACCAATTGTTAAAAAAAGTAAAATGTACTGAAAATTATTTCCATCTTTGTGACTGTACCAAACAATCTCCTATTTTTTTTATTATTATACAATCACTGAAAAGCCCTTTTGTGCTTTGTTAATGTTTTATTGACAAGTCTTTCTAATATTAAATATTGACAATCTTCACTGATAATGCATATAATGTAGATGGAATTTGAGAAAAGTATTTTTTTAAAGTCTTTGTGATGTTGCTTTTCCCTTTACTCATGAGACCAACATCTCCTTCCTCGAGGAAATCATTCTTTATAATTTATTTTTTAATGAATTATCAATATATGTTTTCTAGCAAAGTGGATACTGGTACCATTGGTGGGGTGTTCTTATCTTTGTTGTTTAGATCCCTTGGGATTTTGAGCTTTTATCATCCCTGAACTTGTTCGTTAGCTTTTCCTATTAAAATTCATTATAGCAATCTGCTGCTTTTAAAAGCTTTTGTTTTATTGTAACTTAGGACTTTTCTATGGGATTGCTGGCAGTTATATAGAGATGAAGTTCCTTTGCGTTGTTGAAATTAACTTCTCAATGTATATGAAAATTCACCCACTTGAAACGGAATATCCAGCAAAAATTACTCTTTACAAATTGGCTTTCTCCTTCAATGACATGGTTACAACACCTCCAGGATTTTATAATCAGTTTGATTTTAGTTTAAAACTATTTAAAAAAATTATTTTATTAGAAGACATTTTAATAAGCACTACTCTTTAGATACAAAATATTTAAAAAAAAAAAAAAAAATTTTTTTAACTCTGTCCATTGTCAAGATCATCATCCATAACTTCATGCTATTGTTAATTGTGAACTTCATAATCCTTTCCATAGTTGTATATTATGTACATCACCAGGGCTACATACAATTTTAAATTCAGAGTTTTTCTTCTCCAAGGCTGGTTGCCAACCATAGCAAGAGAGCTTAGCATAGGTACCTCCACGAGATCGCTAAAAAAAGAGCATAGCATGATGAAAAAGACGCCAAACTTGAAAAAACAAAATTTTATCGTCTAAATGTTTGTTATTATTAAGAGGAAAGGTCAAAGTATTTTTGGGGTATTTTTTTCCATTTTTAATCGCCCTAGCACGCCCCAAAATTTTAGATTTAAAATCTAGTTTTTTTTGAGTCAGCAAATTGACCATTTTTTTCCATTTAAAAAAAAAACTGGAAATCTGACTTTGAAATTTTTTAAATATCAATTATCATTTTTCAAAACTTATTTTAAGAAAATAAGAAATTATGTTTATTTAAAATATTTTGAACCAAACTTAACTTAGCTTTTGTGCCAAAAAGATGTAATTTGAAAATAAAACAAAGCAGGTCATAAACTTTCGCTTCTCTTGACATGTGATGAATGATATATTTACAAATTCCATGAGGCTAATTTGTTCTACGGAAGGAGAAAAGTGAAATAATTTACATTTATGTGAACAAATTATTTACCCCGTTATTTTTAACAAAAACTTTCAGCGGTCTAATTTTTTTTTTTTTTTTGTACTTAGCTTTCACCTTTACGTTTATGATGCTTTATGGGAAATATATTGTAAAGAAATTAAAATAAAACTGTTAAGAGTGAGATTAAATTTCATATTTCTTAAAAAGGTATCTAATTAATTTATAGGTACCTTTCTTATGAGATTTTATCAGAATTGTACATAAAATACTATAATTGTATGTACAATTATTACATTCTACTGTTATTTGTATTTGCATTCATTTTATTATTAATTTTGATATTTCATTTATGGAAAAATGTCATAACTGAGATTAATATAAAAATAAGATCATATAAATTTCATAAGATGAAACTGATACTTGTAGGTACCCTTCTCAGTTGAAATTGAAAAATCAAATTAACTTCTCCACACGTGTTTCGCAAAAGTAAAGGCCTTAACAGCGGAGAACAATGCTTAACTCAAATAACGCAACTTAATTATATTCTGGTTGGTCTTCCGTATTTCATAATTACAGCACGATTATAATCACAAAATTACATTTCTTAATTACTGGGTATCTTCTGATTAGTCAAAATGATACAATTTACAACGCGCTAAAAAAGATCTATCTCATAAGGACAGTTATGAAAGCCAATGCGGCTTTTAACTAATTTTATAATATTTTAACAACTAAATGTAAAATCTATTATAATTAATGAAATAACAAATAATTGTATTAAAAATTCATTTTTCATCGAAAAATTTTTTTTGCTTTCAGAAAATATTGTCCATATTCATAAAAAGCAAATAAAAGCATTTGAAATTAAATAATATCTTTGTTTTATTGAGTTTTGTATGTTACAATTCAGAGCTGATTTTCAGGTACTGCGTATCCAATTAAAACAAAAAAAAACATGATTTGCATTCCTCAAAGCCCTGTGCTTTTAATTATTGTAATCACTAAAACCGATCGATCAATTTCTAGCGTTTTTCATAAAATTAGTTTGGGGGGTAATAAATATTTTTAAAAAATATTTCTACCATGACTTTCATAAAAAAACATATTTATAATAATTTCTATCATCTGTGAATAGTTCCTGAAAGTTTCATTAACATCTGATAATTATTTCTATTTTTGCACGATTTTTCAAATTAATGTGTGTCATACCAAAAAAACGTGCTAAAAATTGTCTGTTATTTACTAGTTCCGCTGATACAAATAGAAAAAAGGTTTTTTTAATCAAAATTTAGAATGTTCTAAAATGAAGGAAAGTTTTTTAAAAATAATTAAAAAAAAAACTTTGGTCTTTCCTCTTAATAATAACATAAGCATTTAGACAATAAAATTTTGTTTTCGGCAAGATTGGCGTCTTTTTCATCAAGCTATGCTCTTTTTTTAGCGATTTCGTGGAGGTACCTAGCTTAGCATGTCCTGTTATTGTAACTAGTAGCTGGTTCGGAAAAACTTGGATTATTTCTAAGGATATTTGCACAAAATTGAATGTAATGAATTCAACTGGAATTTGAACTTTGCTTAATGATTTCTCATTCTGAGCAACTAACCATTATACTATGAGCATGTCTTTCACATTACAGTATTATATAACAACTGGTATTATTAAGTTTGTTTTGTTACTTATATATCCAATTAGGAATAAAAGCAATTAGTGGGAAGATATAACTAATAGACATATCATAAGTGGAATGATATCAAGTATCTTTGTATAAAATAAAACCATTTAATTATAGAAGTGTGTTAGAAATTAATGTTTTTTCCTTATTTTGCTTTTTATTCCAACAATTCTTTGATTATTTGATCTTGACCTTATTAATGTCTTTTTTCTTTTATTTTTCAGTTTTCTTTGTCTCCTTTTTGGGAGTCTGTCTGTCACACTCCCTTCTCACCACAACTGACATCATGGGAAATCTTCTTAGGGTGCTCACCAAAGATGACTCTGCTAAAAATTATGACGTATATGTCGACTTTGAAAGTAAGAAACTTTAACCTTCATTATTTTTACAGTTTATTTAAAATTATGTATTTATTGAAGCACTGTAAAAAAAAAAAAAAAAATTTAGAGCAGATTTTAAGAAATTACTTGATGGTATGTGTTCGTTCCATTCCAAATAGGGATGACTGCAAAATCATCCCCCTCCCCAAATTTATAGACAAATTGCAGTAGATACAGGCAGGAATTTCCTCCTAACCAATAAGATCTCCCACTTCTCAGTCAAAATGAAGATGTTCCTGTTCTTTCTTGTCTTGAAGTCAGAATGCTGCAATCACTTGTCTGTACCCCTTTTGTGTGTTAACACCATTCGTAGTTTGTGAAATTTTTGCCTTGTTACTGTTACTTTGCCTACTCTTGTCTTTGTGTGCGTGTATGTGTATATATATATATATATATATATATATATATATATATATATATATATAGCAATTTTCTTTAAATAATTGCTCTAGCTGTTACCATAGTAATTTTAATAATAAATATGCTTATAAAACGTGTAAATTTCAGGAATTAGTTATTACAAAAAAATTTCGCTTGAAGATGGAACAGAGCTTGGTACTTTAATTCAATTTAATTTAAATAATTATATTGAAGTTTTTGGCTCTTGTTTTGAAACAGAACTCTTATGTAGTAGTGGAATCATATTTTTAAATAACTATATATATATATAAGTTTTGTTCTGTTCTTTTCTTTGTTTATTGGAAACTTTGTCAATTCTGTTTTTTTGGGCATTTCTGCCAATTACATTTAACCATAGTCAGTCACTTTACAGCATAGAACAAGCATGTCTCATTTGTTGTTTTTTTGTTAATCAATGAACATTATTAACATTTTATAAAAGTTCTTGTTACTGTACTGTCTGAATGGACTTTTAGAGAAATATGAAAATCCTCATATTCAATAAACCATGTTTGAAAAGTTACATAAAAAGCCAATCCATAATATGTCTAGTCATTATATTTCAGCCTTGATGTACCTTGGCAACTAATCAGAGCAGATTACTGCACATGTATGAATGCTCATCCATGGTGTCAATGTGGTTGACAGCGTGATGCTATTTAGTGAACTTGTATAATCTGACCATCTTTGTGTCTTGTGCAAGGTTTTTTTGTTTTGTTTTTGTCTGTCAACTTTCACGTCAATCCAGATTTGTTTCCCCTTGGATTTCTATTTTTTCCCCCACTATTGAAACACTTTGGATGGGATTTAGAATGCAACAAACAGTTGATAGTAATCTTAACAGATTACTTCAAAGATTGTTTTGAAAAATGGATGGGATTTTGGTATAAGAATGTGAAGTCTTCATAGGTGTGCTTTGAAGGGGACTAAGGCATTGTTACCTTGGGTAGGTACTTTTTTTTTTTTTTTTTTTCTTAATGGCTGGATATGTTCTGGAAAGATCTTGCATATATTCTATCAAACAAGGACATGTCCAACATATTCAAAATTTTTTGAATTTTTAAAGTTTGCTTAATGTTCTTATATTAAACATCTAATTTTCATTTAACAGAAGGTCAAAATTATGTCTCTTAACCTTCTGTAATTTTTGTAATAAACCATTATTCCAAGAATTTGGTCTCCTACTTAGCCACCATCTTTTTCTGTTTTTGCACTATTAGCAGACACTACTTGAAGAAAGCTTCCTCTATGGATTGTACATCAGAAAAATATCATGATGAATTGGCTAAAATATGAAAACAAAAAGATCAATATATTGAACAAATCTTACAAGGTAGTTTCGGGGAGAGGTTGCTGAAAAAGAAGGTAATGACCTCGAACCATGGAATGTACATTCTAGTCTACATATTCACCCAAAGTTCAACACATTTGGCACATTATTTCTCAAGGTTCTTTAACCTTTTCCCTCCCCAATTCTGATGTTTAGTCATTGAAATACTACTTTATTGTGGCTATCACCTGATTTGGTTGAAAATTTCCTTTCTTTCAAATTCCTTTTTAAGATTTTGAAGCAGGAAATAAATGTAGTAAGATCTAGTAAGTAGGATGGATAGTCTATATACCCAAATTCAAAATTCTTCAAAACCCTCATTGTCTTGGTAGCCCTGAGAGTTGCAGCATTATTCTGCAAAAAGAGAACACTTTTCTGCAGCTTCTTTTAACATTTTTCTTTAAACATCTCCTTTAATCTTCATAGCAAGTTAGTATTCTGTATTAATTGTTGGGTCTTTCTGAAACTGGTCCATCAAAATATCTTTATCCCAGAAACTGTGGCTACATTCTTTTCTGCTGACTTCTGAGTTTTGAATTACTTTGATGATAAAATCATTCTTCTTGGAGACTTTAACAGTAGAATGGGAAGAGATCATATTGTCTGGAAAGAGATAATTGGTAAACATGTAAGGAACTTTTTGTCATTAGTTTTGAACCTTTGTGCAACACATAATCTCACTATCACCAATACTTGGTTTTACCAGCCAAATAAATATAAGACCTCATGGATACCTCCTTGCTCCAAACACTGGTATTGCCTTGACTTTGTGATAACCTGACACTCAAACCTACAAGATGTCCATATTACCTGTGCTTTATGTGGTGCTGAGTGCAATATGGACCATCAACGTTTTACCTGCCAAATAAATATAAGACCTCATGGATACCCCCTTGCTCCAAACATGGGCATCTTTCTGAAAATGATCCATCAAAATATCTTTATCCCAAACACTTTGGCCAAAATCTTTTCTGCTGACTACTGGGTTTTGAATTACTTTGGTTGTAGAGAATCTGAATGGTGCTGCCATTACAATGATAACAATGTTGTAACTATTGACAAATTGTTCCTAAAAATTGAGATTGAAATGCTGCAATATAAACTTGGAGGTATCCACTAAATATTTCTTCTTTTTATTTTTACCTGCTCAATTTATTACCTGGATATCTGTCTTTTCTTTTTTTTTAAATTTCTTTTCTTTCCTTTTTTAAAATCCCATCACCCAAAGCAAGGCAATAATACCACTAAAATGCAAGGGGTTACTGAGAGTGAAAGAGAAGACTTTGAGGAGAAAGGAGCAATAAAAGAACAAAATTCAGAAAATCGGAAGAAGGCTTTTTAAATTCTTGATGATTGTAAATGTCAAGGAAGAAAGAAATCGGTTAAAAAATAAGCACAAGGAACTTGTAGATTTGGCACTTTAAAATATAAAAGAATATCTTTCCAGCCGCAGTGATAAAATAATACTAATAATTTGGGAAGTGTGTCATAACTTTTCAGAAACCCTCTTGTATTGTAGTATTAAGTAATTTTCTCTTTCATATCTTATTTTTCATCCTTAACTTAGGACTTTGAGACTATCCTTATGCTATCTTACCTCCAGTGAGCATGACTCATCAGAAGTTTCCTGATTGGTTTATTGTCAAAGAGTATTATCTTATCTCCCTATGGTACCTCTCTCCTCTCCCCATCAAGCTTCACTCCCCAACACTTCACTTTCATCCTTGTTGACTCTATCCACTGTGGTGTCTCTTTTTCTTCACTGTTGCTGCTACACTCCAGTGATATGTCTTCCTCCGTCATTGCCCTCCAATTAGATGGTGCTTCTCTTTCTCCACTATTACTCTCCCAGTTCCTTGGCACTTTTCTTTCTCCACCATCCTCCTCTTCTACCATTTCCTCCTTACTCCCATGGTACCTATCTTCATCCATCATTGCTCCTCTGCTCCAGTGGCACCTTTATTCCTCCAACATCACCCCCTACTCCCATGGCACCTCTGTTTCATGGTCACCCTCTTTTCCAGTCCTCTTTGCCTTCATCTGTTGATGTCTGTAGAATGGATTCACTGAGTTGTGCTAATAACAAATCAATTAAATCTGAATAAATCTTGGAATGTTAATGATTCCATCCAAACTCATTGAAATGACCATAGAGTAATTCTGTGAAAAGATGGTGGTACCAACAGAAAGAATCAGATCAATAGACTGAACAACTCTTAGCATGATGATCACTAATTGCATAATTACAGGATCTAGGTTATGAAATAATTCATTTTTATTGTTTTTCCAGATTTTCTATTGACAAGATGACCAGTCAATTCTATAAATTGTGTTTCATACTGGTTAGCAAACATTGTGATGGTGATTTTTCTCTTAAAAAGCATTTTAAATGATTCCAATTTTTTATTAATTAATAATGAGGTACTAATTAGTTGTCTTTTCATTTGTTGGGGAGACTGGAATTATTTCATTTGATTAGAGCAGTATTGTTTAAAAGGACATTTCTGACTAGTCATTTTTTATACCATGAATATGGAATAAAATCTGTATTCTTAAACCTGTTTAAAAACAAAAAAACTGCACACACATGCCTGTTCAGTGTAACCTTTCATTTCATACACATGTACAGCTGCAAGACTAATTTTCCTGATTCACTTAGTGAGAAATGAATTTATTGTTAACGAACTGGATGATGACTACATAAACCACTGCACTGGGTCACCTGCTTTATTGCATACTTTTATACAATACATGTAAACATATATATATACACACACACACACACACACACACACACACAAATATCTACATGCATACATGTTACACAAATGTATTTATTTATACACACACAGTTGAAAAATACTATATATACAGAATGGGGAAGAAAAATTTTCATTATGCATTTTATCCCCTGAAAGCATGACTTCAAACTAATGAGTTTATCAATGAAGTTATATATATATATATTTTAGTGGTGGGTGAATAAATACAAGAAACACAGATTACAATTTTACACTGAGAAATATTGAAGATGCAGAGACCTTTATCTTTTCTTTTTCATTATCCAATGTATATAGATGATTAACCTAACAGACCTCTTTCAACTTTCTACTGCTTATGTTTTTATTTTTATGGCTATTTTTAAATTTTTTTTCCCTATAACCTACAATTTAATAGCAGTATTCTTGTTAGGAAAAGATATGTTGCATGATCCTGGATGTAAATTTACTGTAGAAGAAATTAGTGGACT